GGATGGACAAAGAGGAAGAAGAGACTCTTTGCATCACTTAAAAGGATTTGAATTTAGAAAAAAATTCCTACATAACCTAAGATCTAGAACTGGCTTAAAAAAAAAGCTTCAGTACCTTTGTTTAGTAGTGTTCTGTTGCAGAGTTATTTCTATATGTGCTTCAGGCCACACATTATATATTCTCCATTAGCATTTCTTGATTTAATTTTACATAGCAAATCTATTTCTTAACGATAAATAGTTTGTCTTGGGTTTTCTATTGATAAGAATCGTTCCAATTTCATGGCAGAATCATAGTGAGGAAGTTCAGCAGTTCAGAGCCTCAAGAATAGAAAGAAGAAAAGACAAAATTAGTCTTCACTTCTGCTTTTTTAGGTATGAGGCTCAGTGAATGCCAAGGCCAAACAGGCTGGCTGTCTAGATTATTAAAATGGCTGGTTTTTACACTATTTGCAAAAATGAGAAATATTGCCAGATAACATGTTGGTTTTGAGGCATTTCATCTGCTTTAAATCTCAGTTTGGAAATTCCTTCCTGAGGGAGAAGGGGGAGAGTTTCTTCTACAGAACATGTGTTTCCCCAAGTCTCTGCTGCTTCTCCTCATTGCCTGCAGTTGTCACAGATCTGAAGCACTGCCCCATGGTGAAGAAGGCAGTAAATAAAAAGTGATAGTCCCTGGTGATGGCACCTGGGGCGTTTATCAAGGTTGATTATCTCATCTGAGCTGCAGGATCAGGGCAGGAAACGTGTGTCTGAACTCCTGGCAGTGAGGGGTCCTATGGGCTTTCTGCTCCCTGCAGCTGGCAAGCCTGTGCTTTATTTTACAGGTCTGGTAACTAAGTTCTCTCCTTTGGAGGCAGCTTAGAAGTGACATGTTTTCATTAATGCCTCTGCCTTACCCATCACGTTTTTCCCAGCTGCTAATCTGTTTGGGAGCTGCAGACCAGGTGGATTTCACAGTAATTATAAACCAGCCTGTTATTGCAGAGCTGGCTGAGTTCCTGAGCCCAACCAGTCCTGCAGGGTCTTCTGGGACACAGGGAGTGGGCCCATACCGAGGATGGGAATTTTTGTGAGGGTTCTCCTCCCTGGCATCCCAGAGAGACAGCAGGTGGAGGTGAAGCCAAGTGGGGACTTCCTGAGCACCATCACTGGTGGAGCTCCAGAGGTGACGTCACACTTGCTTTGGTTTCCTGGGATTGCTCTCCTGAAGCTTATGAAGCTGGGGCTAGGATTGATTTTTGAGACAAAATGATCTTTATAATAGTTTATAATTTGTATAATATTGTGTTGTCTGTTTTTCTTTTGTTGTTGTTGTTTTATTTGAAATAATGCCCAGCACAGAATCCACTAAACCTTCTTGCTTTTGCTCTCAAATCCTTGCACCTGTTACAGGAACACTTGTGTATTTTGAATATGCATCTATCTGGTAAACCTCAAAAGGAATGCTATAGCCTGCAAACATGTTTGCTGTTGTATAACATAGAAATAGAAAGTCTCAAAGATTCTGCTCCAGGAGCAGCTGGGGCTTTGCTGGGGTTTTCACACCAGATAGGAAATCCTTAACAAACACTCCATGGACAAAGAAGGTCCTTGTCTCCTGTAAGGAGACCAGAAAGGTGACTCTGTCTCAGCAGTATCATACCCTAGCAAATGGTCTTCTAAAAACTGAGCTCTCATCCCTTTGGCAAAGTCTTTGCCCATTTGTTAATGGAAATTGTGAAGTTGTGATGTAGTATTTACAGGGTAGGAAACCCCTTCTTAGTCATTACGCTCTGTTTTTATGGATAGAATCAGAATTTTGACAGAAATAAATATTGCACAGTTTTGGCATTAATCTGAAGCTTTATATGAGCTACTTGATCTTTCTGAGTATATAAAAATGAAGTTGGAAACCTTGAGAGAAGTTTGTAACCTTGGTGCTTCAAAGGCTTGCTGTAAGTACAACAGGAAGAGTGTTCTGCTGTGGTGTTTCAACACTTTTCAGTTTTTTTGGGGAAAATGACAAGGAAGAAAGGATTGCATAAGTGTTAAAAGTATTTTTAAAAACATAGTAAAGGTTTGGTTCTTTGCATGATAAAAAACCTGTTTTGTATTCGCTGTGAGAAGAGCTTAACTTCTGTCCAAAAAAAAAAAAGAAAATTAGCATTTTGAATCATGTATCACCTGGGGAATCTTACAAATTTCAGTTTGCAAAAGTTAATTAAGACTTCAGTGTCATAATACCATCACAAGGCCTCCTGCTATCATGTCTTTGCAAAGGCTGCAGCATTAATGAGGTATGAAAGCAGATTAACTACTAATCCAAGGTGTGTGCTGAATTGCCCCCTTAAAGTAATAAAGCTCAAATAACCGAGAACATCATTTAGTTAAGAACAGGAATATGCATTTCCAAAGCTACTTCAGAAATGCATTTTGTCCAGTTCAGAAGTCCAGAGACATCTTGCACAGAATTTATCTTGGATAAACTTAAAACTCTGTAAGAATAACATATTATAAATGCTTTCCTTACTGCACTCTTCCCTACCAGGGACAGAAGAGCACACAGTTTGTTTTTTGAAGGGATAAGATGTTTGGGATTTTGGCCAGTGAAAGCAGAGCAGGACTTCTGTCCTTTGCAGAGGAAAGATGACAACTCAAAAGGGAATGTAGGTTGCAGGCATTTTTTTCTGAAGAACACAGGCAGCTGATGAATTTTGTACAGAAGAATGTTCTTGGGAAAATAATCTCTTTGAAGTCCTTTTTATTGTTGCAGTATGAGAAAGTGGGGTAGCTCAGACTGGATCACTCATGGGTACCTTTGTATGCAGATCAGACAATACAATTTTAAGAAACTTTTACAGATTAAGGAGTTTAAAAAAAACAACTTGCAAAATATCTTTCAGTACTAAATGGCTGGAAAATTCACATGGTTTAAAAATGTACACCAACTTCATTTTTAGATTTGTGGTTCATATTTTATTTTATTTTTTTGGAACACTTGAACATCAGCACTGCATCTTGTGATGGCCCTTGACTGGTTAGGACATTTGCATATTAATCCAAAAATATGATGAGTGGTGTTTGAATTCTGGGGTGGTGATTCTACCAAATTACGTAAAGGAAGGGCTCAACTCAAGTCCAGTCACCAGTATGTGGTTAAAAAGCCAAGTGGACACAAAAGCCTGACGTGGTACAGGGAGTGTGTTTGGGGTCCAGCCCTTAGGAGGGGACAAAGTGCTTGGCTTTTGGGTTTATTGACACGAGCTGGTTTCTGCCTGGCCCTGTCAGATGATGTGTGCTTTGTGAGGGGTGTTATTGCACGTGTGTGAATTGGGAGGGAGCATCTGAGGGAGGGTGCAGAAGTGCAAATATACAAGTACTGTGTGTTTTCACAGCACATCCTCGTTTTCCCCCTGTGGTCACCTCCTGGGCACTTCATTCCCTGGGTCACAATGCATTTGATGTTCAGCAGTGAGTGAATGTTGTGCTGGTTCCTTACATGTATGCACAAGTAAATTCTGTTTGGTGGTTTGTTGCCTCTCAAGGTGGCAAACAAGCCTTTTGTTCCCAAACAAGCTCTTTCACTGCTGGATGAAAAATGGAATATACGGGAAATTAGTTCAACTGAACAGCAAAGTTCTGCCAAGGGGAAAATTTTCACGCTGAAAGTCTGTCACAAAATATGACTTATTACGATGGGAGAATTTACAAATTGCTGTCAAACCGGTGCTGAATGATGTTAAGATGGTTGTTCAGGGCAGTGCACATTTAATTATTAACTGTTATGATACAATGCCACTATTTCTTCTGGGTCTATAAATGTTTATTTAGTGTGCTTCTGCTGTTGGGATTTTCAGGCAGCTGTGTCAATACAAAGCCTTCTTCTTTGAATATGGAGCTGAATAATTTTGTCTATATCACATTCACAGGGAGACCATCCTACTACTGCTGCTAAAAACCAATCAAAAAAACCTCCAAACCCACACAAACATGTAAACCTGTATCAGTTTCTTGTGGGTAAAACATTAGTGAAGAATAGCTGAAGTAACTTTTTGCCCTTTAAAATACTTGTGTTTGTGAGATTGATGTCTGCACATCCATCTGCATCAGTCTTGGGCTGAATTTCTTTCAGTGAAATTCAGTGCAATTCAATGTGATTAACTTCAGACCATGGACATGGCATGGGCTGGAGGGCACATTATCTTCTGGAAGTTCTAGGGTATCACCAAGACTTTGAATTGCAGTTTTACCTCTTACCTGTGGGATAGTTCTGTCAGGCTCACATTGGCGTTGTGGAGTTTTGCTTTTCTTTCAAAAAAGTTTAAAAGTTCTCCTTCTTGCACATTTTAATCTGGGTCCATCTATTTTTTAAATTAATTTATATTAATTTATATATCTTTTGAAAACCATTGAAAATTAACCTAAATACAAAAAAAAGTTTAAAGCATGTATTCTTTCTCTTTTGAGATTACTGAATTGAAATACTATAAACCCGTTCAAAGTTTTCATGTCTGGTTTTAGCCTCGGTGAAACTTATGCACGTGTCACAACAGCACAGTGTTGGGAAGGGCTGACAGGACTCTTGAAAGTCCGAACAGGAGAAGACAGACCAGATGCACTTTGCTCTGAGTATCACTCTAAAGAGAGGATAACATCATAAATGCAGAGCTGATGTAGGTATGTTTAAAATGCTCCTGAGAAGCTGGTGAGGTGGTACAAAGTACCAGAAAGATTATTCATGGGGTGTACATGTCATGTATAATGTGGAAGCTGCTTTAAAAATTATATCTGCATTAAAATTCATACAAAAACACTGTTTTGCTTTGTTTTGTGCTACAAAACGCCTTGAAATGCTCTGATTCCTGTGCTGCAAGTGCAGGCTCTTCTCAGCGCTGGCAGGATTTGGTGCGTGTGTTTAATCAGTGGTTCTGATGACTGAACTGGCTGCTCATTAACTGCTGGACAGCTCATTAATTTCTCAATGAATTTTTTTTTTTTTTTCTTTCCTTGCCTTCCAGGTTTATGATGAATGTGACTTGGGAAGGCAGAGATTTGTCCTTCACGGCCGATGGTTACCAGGCACACCCCAGGCTGGTGGTGATAGTGCTGAACAACGAGCGGGAGTGGGAAAAGGTGAGTCCTGCCCTGGGTACAGGATCTGAGGGGTGGGAGAGGCTTGGGAGAGCCCTGGTAAAGACGAGCAGACAGATTAATTAATGTCCTGCTTGTCACTGATGATATTCTGCTCTAGGGGGTTTGTCACAACAGTTCAGAAGAGATAATTTTACCTGGTTCTGTGTTCATCCAAGGAGTTTTAACAGGGAAAGCAACGGATAAGCCATGTAGATTTCAGATTTCTGTGAAACACACCGTGCATTTCTATTTCTTCTTACAATTCCATGAAATAAAATGGATCACTGAAAAACCTCCAAAAGCTTGGTCCTCGGTTCCTTAAATTTGGATGGATTTTTATGTCTTGACAATTCCAGTCCTTTCATTTGCTTGGTTTTTTTTTTTTTTTGACAGATTTTAGATAAAAGCACACTTTTCTTTTTTGTTCTTTTTTTTTTTTTTAACTGTGAGGTTCCTGCTGAATTGGAGGCTAGTCCCAACAAGCTTTACCTGAAAAATTTATAATTTTGACTTTTCCAGGTAGACAAGTGGTCTCCATAGACCTCTATATAGACTAGAAAAAAAAGTGACTTAATATCAGGGTTAATCATATATGCAAATAGTAAATTAAAAAGTTTATCATGAGCATTCTTTTCTTTAAAACTCCAGTCTCAGCCTGTGATTGTTTTGACTCTGAGCTTTGCCAGATATCTGTGGTTTAAAAACAGGGAACCTTAGAAATTGCTTGTAATATGAGACTGTAGGTAAACATACATCACTTATCATCCTCCAGTTTTATTTCAAATTCATGAAGCGTGATCCTGCATTATCTAAATTGCTGCTGAAATTTATGATTTCTTTTTCTTGTAGTTTTAGGAATCCATAAAATCAACTTAAAACTCCAGTTTGTAAGACTAGAAGACTCTTCATGATGATGAATAATAATGACAAAATCAGAATTACTGAAGGGCATCTCAATAAATATGTCCTAGATTATCATGTGTATTTCTTTATGTTCATTTGATGCAAATTTAATTCTCTGGATAAATTTAACCCTTTCCAAATGTGTCAGTTTGAGTCTTTGGAAGAATCTTTTGCTCACTAACCATTATGAAAATTTCTTACTCTATTTTAAAATTCTTCAACATTCTGCATGTCATATATAATGTTCTGGAAAAATTATTATATTGCTTGGAGACTATTATTAGTATGAGGTGCCAAAGGCAGAAAATACTTAAAGAGGCAGCCAACAATGCTTCTGTTAAAATAATTTCATACATTTTGTACCTTGAAACTTCTCTAAAAGAGGACATTCAAAGGACAAGGAGAGACATGTGTGATGTTTTTGAAAAATGAGCTAACAGCAGCAAAGAAATAGTGGGTGTATGAACCAACATTATTTCTAAGAAATAACTTGAGCCTGTTTTAACCTTCCAGTGACTCCCCTATCAGAGAATGACGACTTGGGGCAGGTTTTGGTGTGCCTATCACGTTGTGTGGCAGCAGTGCATGCTCCACCCGCTCTGCTGGGCTGAGACACGCTGTGGGCTGAGCCTAAACAGTTCTCCATGGGGTAAATCCCTCCCTGCTCACTGTCGGGTTTGAGGGCCTTTTAGGAGGAAGAAAAGTGGGACTGAAGGAGGCTCCTGCCCAGAAAAAAATGGATTCTTCTGCTCCTCTCTGGCCCCTGCTTTAGAGCCCTGTTGGTGGCCGGCCAGGCGAGGTGCTGTGCCTGCTGCTCCAGGGAGTGGGAAGGGGGCCAGGTTTAATTATATCAGAGGGGAGAAGGGAAAGGCGGCCAAGAACAGGCTGTCACCACCAGAATTATTCTTCTGACCACAGGCTGATCCGTGCCTCTGTGGATGAAGACAAATAAAGTGACTAATCCATTTTCCTGGCGAGCTGGATGTAGCTCTCGGCTATCTCGGAACACCCCGCATCTTTATCAGCAGAGTGGCACTGAACACTTCAGTTCCTTTGGCTTAGAGACTTCAGAAACCCTTCCCACCCCCTGCTTAATTTGTGCATCTCTCTGGTGTTGTCTCAACGTTCTCTCCAAGTTGCACTTTTTATCCCACATCTCTCAGCCAGTTTTTTTTCCTCTTGTTCCTTTTTCCTTGAGCTGTTTTGCTCAGTTTCAACACTGTCAAAGCTATTCATCTGAGATCTAACATTCCCTGCTCTGAGTTTCCAACCAGCCACTTGCTTTTCCTTCCTATTACAGTATGGCAATGAGTATCACAGAATTGTTTTATTGAAGTTTTATTAAATATCCTCAAACCTATATGGAAAACATCGAGTCCTAGAATCTAATTAAGTGATTTACTCATGTGAAAAACTGACAGTGCAACAGTCTGTTAATCCTCCTAATGTAACTAATGTACATAGAAATTGTGGGAGCTACTTTATTATTTATGTAGAAAGAGTAATTTGGGTTTATGTGAGAATTTTTTTACCCAGTACTCTACTGAAAATCCAAGATGTATTATTTAAACTCAACTATTATTTGATCTTTAATCTGATTTGACTCAAATACAATTTTCCCTTGGTCTCAGAATTGATATACTTGACTCAAGGCTTGAGGTTATCGAAAATTCATTCAACCATAGTTGAAGAGCATACATATTACCCCTCAGGAAGTAAGTTCCTTTTCCTTTAGAAGTGACTCAGTATTGAAACTTTGAGATGGTAACTTCACATGTAAATGAGGTTGAATGAGGGATTTGTCCCATATCAGATGCTGAAAAAAGCTGGTTGGATGATAATAGTTTGAAGACTGAAAATCACATTTTTGGGCATGTTTTGCAGGCATCCGGCAAGATATTTTGACAGATCCTAAAGCAACTACTCAAACTTCTGACACCAACGTTCATATTCTTGCTACTAATCTTGACAGGCAAAGGGGATGCTGTTCTCAGGCAAGAGATTTTTAAGAAGACAAGTTTAACGTGCTTGTTTCAGTGAAACTTGATAAATTTGCCAGAGTTAACAGCGTTGCCCAAATATCACCAAAGTGCTGCAGGAACCCTGTGCTAGTGCTAAATAACCCTCAGAAGTCCAGCAGACACAGCTGCAGCTCTCCTGTTAACGTTACCTCAGTGTGGTGTGACCTGGGTATCAACTTCACTGAGCTGCCAAATTCACAGTCTGCTAGTCTGTCTTTTTTTTTTTTTTTCCTGATGTGGAAATAAAATCAATCAATCTGATATTAAAATCATATACTAGAATATAATTAGCAGTGGCAAAAATAGTTGGTTTAAATTAGCAGTGTGTATCATATATTTTAGGTGAAGGGTGAAGAACTGTTTAGAAGTTTAAAGATGGATGTATTCCATGTGTAAAGATGAGTTCTGGGATAAAATCAGTTTTTACTGCTGCTCCTAGGTAGATGCAGATAAAATTACCACGGTGGACTTTATTCTGCATGAATTTGTGTGCTACATGGCACAACTGCTACTTAGACAAGAGTCAGTACTTACATCCAGGTGTATTCCAAACATAGCCTGTCATCTTTAACTTTCTATTAATGCAGGATTTAATGTTGAACTTAATTTTGCTCTGATTAACTAGCATATGCCAGATTTACAAGCTCTGTGTGGGGTTGTACACATTTGTATCTAAGTAGGAATGAGTGGGCAGAGGGTGAGCGGTTCCTGCCTGGAATAAATGAACCAAGGTCTTCACAGAGAGCTCCATCTGGCTCCTGACATCCACCGTCACGGAGCTGAGAAGAGGCAGCTCCTGTCTCTAGTGGTGGAGCCGACTTCCCTGGGACAGAACTGAGGAACACAGTAACACTCGGGCAGATTTCTGACAGAGCTTTTTGTCAGAGCGGTGATTAAAAAGTCACTGAGATGGTACAGGGTGGTTCCTTGTGAAATCTCAATTGATTTAGAGCAGGGGTTGTGATAGCTTGAAGGATCCTGGTGTCTCATGATAGACGTTCCCTGAAAGTTGTGAAGGGATGCATATATTTTAAGCAGAACAGATGAAATTGCATGAGCTAATCCTCTATTTGCGGGTGTATCTTCTGTCGGAGGCTCTGTGGTGTAACATGATACATTCCTTGCCCACAGCAGAAGCAGCAGTGTGCTCTTTAACATCTATTGGGTTGTCATTTTCTCTGTTCCATCCTCGTTGCTTGGTGTATTTAGTCTTCCTGTAAATATGCCTGTCCTGACACTTATTGTCAGCTGAAAATTGCATATTGTTTCTGTATCAGTGAGCTTTTGCTTAGCCTAAAGGCCTTTCCTTTGACCTTTACTGGGCTGAGTTGTTCGAATTGCATCAATTACTATGCAGCATTTCTGAAATCACATATTCCCAAGGAAGATGGTCCCCACCTCTTTGCTGCCACAAAGGAATCTCAGCTCCCATGGAAAGCGTGGGTGGTGTGCTTTGCTCCTGCTCTTTACATCTAGGTATCAGAGAGGAGATAAAGGAATAGAAAGACTTTCAGGCCAACTCTTCATCTCTGGAGGTAAAGGTTTGGCTGACTGGACGTTTCTGTAGAGCTGTAAGATCTGTACTGACTGCAGAGGTGATAAAAAGTCTTTCCTTGCTGGGAGGTGGAGGAAGGGGCTGTCAATTTGATTACCTCTTTTCTGATGACATTATCAACTCATAAAATGGCTTCTCTAGCATGAGTTTGAACTCTTGTGCTGTGTAGAGTTATCTGGGACATTTTGCAGAACCAAAACTGTGCCAGCCACTGAGGATTTGGTGAGTGCTAATTAATAATTCTCTATTGAAAAATGAGGCTGCAGGAGGTGGTAGCTTTTCTTTTTATCCTCCTGTTCATTTATAATCTCTCTGGATCCTGTGTTTTCCTTTGAGCCTTCCCAGTTGCAGGACTGGTGCCTTTCTGACAGTGTCAGGATGAGGGAAGAGTGGGACATTTGCATAGCCCATATGAGATTTTGCAGCAAACTTTGAAAACTTCAAGGTCTTTAAATGGAGGTCTTCAAACCACGTAGGACTGTAAAACACTTCTTATTAATAAGACATGAAACTGCTCACATCATATTTTGTCCTATAAATTTAGAGGGCCGTTGTCAAAGAAGGACCTTCAGAAACATGAAGTGACACAAAAGTTAGCTGCAGAAGGTGTCCAGCAGATGCTGTTTCTGGAGGAAGGGTTCTGCCCCTGTGCTTTGTTCTGCAGCTGTTATTGCTAACCTGACAAACTCTGTGCTTTTCAGTTATTGACTTCAACCTTTCCAAAGTAGCTCTTCCTTTTAAGTGGAAAAGTGTGATGAAAAAATAGTAGTAAATAGTTTTTCAATAAAGCAAGATGAGTTCGATTTTTGCTTTTGCTCAGCGTTATTTTCTTAACTGCTCAAACTGTGTTTGCAATAACGTGTGTGTGTTTGATGCAAGAGGAACATCCCTGAAAATCTTTCTCTTTTCGAAGGTTTGACTGGGTAGTCCTGGGAGTGCATTCAGTATCCCTGTTGTCATGTAACATTTTTTCTTACAAAGGGATGATGACTGTGCACTGAGCACAGCTCCCACCTGCTGGGAGGAGGGTGACAGGACCAGGTTATTTGTTTGTTTTTGGTGAGATATGCCGGTGTGACAGACATCCTTTCTGTGCCAACACTGGCCCACAAGGAAGCTCTACTCAGGATCTGGCCTTGCTCATTTTCTCTGGCTTGTTGGTGTCTGTGAAGGTGTGTGAATAGGATTATGTCAATCATCCTTACATTGTTTAGACACTGCTTTAGGGTGCAGCAGGAGAGGGGACTCTGAGGTGTGCAGCAATTGTGCAAGTTGGCTGTCTTCCTTTACATAGCTGTGTTTATCTGACTGCTACACAGAAACACAGCAAATTATTCAATATCACCCTCTCTGGCTGCAATCTTCAAAAGATAAAGAGGCCTGGATGAGGGGGTGAGAGCACGTGTGCCCTGCAGTCAGAGGTAAGGTGCTTTAGGCAGCAGTGGGTGAGGTGAGGACCCTGTGTTTGCTAATTCAGTCTGACTTCAAACAAACTCTTCCATGCTCTCAGCTACTTTCTGCTTCCCTTTCTGTATCCTGTAGAGATTAAACCATAGGGAATATTCCAAACTGCTTGTGAAGGTGGAGAAAATAGGAAAGAAAGTGCAAGTTCAAAAGAAATACAATGGTACATGTACCATTGCATGTCTGGACTTTGAAGCTGAGTTTTGCACCTACAACAGTGAATCAAGGGTTTGATTCACTACTGAAAGTGCATTTTTTATGGAAGTCCCACTCTTTTGGCCATAATAAGGTTTTTTATGGTTTGGACTAGGATCTACCCCCAGGATCTACCCCCAGAATGATTCTGTTACGCTTTCTTTCAAGCAGGGGTCATTGTCTGTGTTTCTCTGGGATTGAGGCCACATCATTATCAGTGTAATTAAGAATCACAGAAATGTTTCATAAAACTTTGGATGTTTTGTGGCATTTACATACAGTACAGTAAAAATATTTGCTTGCAGTTTTGGACAGTTCTGTAATGGAGCCATTTCTGCAGCATTTTTTGAGTTTTACCCTTAGCTTGAATTCTCTTTTTTTAAAAAAATGTTTGGTTTAGAAATGCACACTGCTGTGTTTATTACTTCAAAATCTTTCTTAACACAGTTTTGCCTTCCCCACTATTATGGATACAACTCTCAAAAGAAATGAGCTGGCAGAGGGATGTGCTTCAGGATCAGGCAGATCTGCCTCCTCACAGCTCCCGGACTGAGTGGTTTAGGAAGGCAGGTAGTCCCGACCACACAAATGCCATCATGTTTTGTTTCTTGATGGTTGGAACAGGCACATTTTCCTCCTCTGAAATTCCTTGTATTCCTTGGCATGTTTGCTGTTTGACTGAAGCACTGCTCTGGCTGGAATTCTCCTCATCCCAGATGGCCATGGAATATTTAGGGCTATGAGTGACACCGTGGAAGCTCACGTAAGCCAGCACACACTGCTGTGGCTGCCATTATATCCTATAGATTGATGATGAAACTATTTTTGCAATAACTCTGCCTCATGCAGCGTTAAATGGATAGAAACAATAGGTTTGTTTCCCTGTGTCTGAAATAGTTTGTCTCATAAAAGGCTTCAACCACTGTGGTTTGGTTAGATTTCATAGTAGCACTGTACACATATCCTACAACCAATTACCATTGATTTAAGTGAGAATTCCCAATTCCCTTGAGATATTTTGGATTTCCTAATTTAAGTGTGTGGAGATTTGGCATTTTATGCCTCCTACATTAAAGTTCAGCAAAACGTTTTGACTTATAAACAGGATGGAAAGGAAACTGCAAAGGTCATGTGCTTGTATGGTTATATTCCTAAATAGGAATGGATATAAGGATATAAGTCATGTTCTTTGGGAAATTTTCTGATTAATTTTCTAGTCTTTAAAGACAGAAAGTAGGTGATAATTTTTTTACCTTTTTTTTTTTTTTTTGGTCATGAGTCTCACTGTGCTCTTAATTCTCACCATTTTCCTTCCAAAAGAGAAATTTTAACAGTCTCATGATTATGTTGTTATTTTGTTTAGCTTAAGCAACTCAAGAATTATTAAAATGCATTAGGTTATAAATTATGTGGATTGCTAGCTCATTTATATTATCTGTCATCAGATAAAACATGTAATTGGATTTATGGATAAGAAGTAGTTAAAACAGAATCTGAGGAAGAAAATGCTAGACGTTTAAAAATATTTGAATTGTACACTCCTTTCTGGTGATCTGGAAGTAGAAAGAAACATAGGTTAATTTAGAAGGGGAAATTTATAATAGTAAATAAACAGGAAATTTTAATGTAAAGTGGGATATGCTTTCCTAAACCTGCCCAACAGTTGGCATTACCTAAAGCAGAATAAACCACAATTTTTCCAATAAGAACTATTTCTAATAGAGTGTCTTACTACAAACGTGGTTTGGCCTGGCTCAGGTGTGATGGAAGCCTGGAAAAAAGGCTTTCACAATGTTTTTTCAAACTCTAAGTATAGAAGAGTCTTCTCTTTTGGGAAGATACAGAAATGGCATTATGATATTTTGGTTATTAGTCAGATGTGTGTGTGTGTGGATTAGGGTTTGATTTTTGGGGGGTGGTTGTTTAGAACTTTTTCCTTGTGAGTTCAAATAGGTCCTGATTACAAAGGAAGTATCTGTTGCTGTTCTGGCTCAAATGAAAATGCTGCATATCAAATTTCAGTGCACCTACTTATAACCAGGTGATAAGTAGTGTTAACTGATGACATCCAGTCTTTATAAAACAGCTATCTATTATAATAATATTCCCTTATTTGCCTTTACCACAGTGCATTTTCTCACTTCATGCGATCCCTAAGAAGTTCTAAAGTAATTTTGATTTAAATAAAAACCCCAAAGCAACTGCCCTGGCAGCGTAATTTCCTGTACCTGTACCCCAGCACATTTAATGTCTGACCCCATTATTCAAACACCACCAAGCAGCTTCAGCAGCCTGTGCATCTTGGCCTTTCAGGTGGGGAAATGGGAGAACAACTCCCTGAGCCTGAAGTACTCGGTGTGGCCAAGGTACAGCTCCTTCGCAGACAGCGACCCAGACGACAACCACCTGAGCATTGTCACCCTGGAGGAGGCTCCCTTTGTCATTGTGGAGGACGTGGATCCCTTGATGGAGAGTTGCCAAAAAAACACCGTGCCGTGCCGAAAATTCGTCAGGCTTAAGTGAGTAAATACACGGCATTCCTTGGTTTTCCTTTGTATTTCCCCTAGTTTCTCAATAATTATTTTCTTCCCTTCGTTCACTGTGTAATTGTTCTCTGATACTTTGCTGCTCTTTTTCCTCTTGCTTCCTGTCTTTGCTTTTCCTTTGGGATTTCATGTCCTCTTTCTTTTCCCCTTTCCCACGTGGTGTGCTCTTGTTTGCACATCTTCCTTTCTAAAAAGTAGAAGGGTTCTGGTTGTACACATGCAAGTCACATTGAATTAATGACAAGAGAGTAAGTTTATAGTAAATTCAAAGTCAATGAGAATTAGCCCTCTTCAGTCATATGAAAGAAGATTGTGTTCTAGAATGGGGCTGTTTAAATGAGCCCTCTTCCAATTGTTTCCACTTATGTTGAGATACGCCTGTTTTGATTAGTCTTTAACAATTTGAGAACGTCTCCCAGTGAAAATGGATGTTTATGCTGAAATGTGGTAGAGGATAAACTACTCCAGCATAAAATACCACTGAGACTTACCACTGAGAGACAAGTTCCCTGCTTTTATTGCTCCATAGCTTTGGAGCAGTCATTAGAAATCAGTGGAAAAGGTTTCACTGGGTATTTATCAGGGATGTTTCACCTGTTTTGTCCTTTGCTCTGCACAGATTATGTATCTATGAATTGAATATAACAACAGCAGGTTTCTTACTGAGCAGGTGTTAGGGAATATGATGCCTGTTTCTCAGGATTTCCAGAGACTGCTAAATGATTGTGCACATGCTTCCTCAAGCCCAGAGAACTTTTTCCCCTGACATAACTGTACTTAGTCAAGTTCTAAACTAGTTTTATTTTAATTTTGAATTCTTTCAAAGGCGGTAAAATACTGCCTTAGCTTTTGAAGGTGCTTATACTAAAATGTTCTAGAGGCCACAAATGAACATTTCAGAAAAAAAAAAAAAGGAGAGGGAGAACCTACGTCATCGCACTCAGAGGTGGCCTGAAATTCACCTTCTCAAAGTGCAGGAAAAAGTGCACTTTGAGAAGATGCATCCATTTTCAGTACAGTGAACTTCTATGCCTTTTTATAGCTTACATGTGCTTTAATTACTAAATGACATGTAGTCTGATGTCTTGAGAGTAAAAGCAATAAATGATTAATCTAATCCTAAGAGAGAGATTAGTAAAAGGAGACTATGTCTTGATGGAGAAGTGCAGTGTGTTAGGCTGGATTGCAGCAGCAATCATGTCATACAAGGTAACATTTTCTCTGTCTCATCAAGCAGCTACATTATGATTAGTAAAAGCTGCAAACACCATATATTTATGAAAGCATCCCGTGGATTATTTCTCTGTTGATTCAGAAAAACATGTCCAGTCACAAGTATGACAAAATGTTGTTTCACAGCCTGCTGAATCCTGCTGTTGTGGTGCTTCTGTTTTTCCTAGCAGGAATATTTACGTGTCTCCTCTCTGTTGACAGCAACAAAACTAATGAGGGAACCAACGTGAAGAAGTGCTGCAAAGGATTCTGCATTGACATCTTGAAGAAGTTGTCGAAAACTGTCAAGTTCACGTATGACCTGTATTTGGTGACGAACGGGAAACACGGCAAAAAAGTCAATAATGTGTGGAATGGAATGATTGGTGAAGTAAGTCCTGTTGAGTAAAAGGGCTCTTAAGTAAGGACTTGGCAATGTTTGGGTTTAGTTCTTTTGGAGAACTGAGGTATTCTCTGCTGAGTGATGTTGGTGGTGTGTTCTCTGTGTGGATCAGGTGGTGTATCACCGGGCAGTGATGGCCGTGGGGTCCCTCACAATTAACGAGGAGCGCTCTGAGGTGGTTGACTTCTCGGTGCCGTTTGTTGAGACTGGGATCAGTGTCATGGTGTCACGGAGCAACGGCACAGTTTCACCATCTGCTTTTCTAGGTATGATTCTCCAATCCATCCAGATAATTTAAATGCCTTTCTGTAGAGTTTGGTTGATTTAACTGTTTGATATGTAGTGCATTGACACGTTTCTGTCAAGTTCTGAATTTTACATTAGAGGGGTTCTACCACGTTGATGTGCTGATTAAAATTATCATTAACACATGAATCTAATGCTGTTGGTTTCAGATGCTTTAAGTGAAACCCAAGGATAGTGATTTCAATATGAAATTCAAAGAATCCCCCAAAACCTTCAGTTGGTAAAATTACATCCTCAAACCTGCTTCCTTACAAACTGATTTATGCTTGTTTAGCCCATTATAATTGGTTTAATTGTATCTTTAGATTTAATCTGAACGGTAATTTGACAATAGTTACCTCTTCTGAACACCCCACTACTGCACTGGAGAGTTGAGTGTTTTCTCCATTGATGCAGCTGAACAGGGGAGATGCAGCAAAGAAGTGAAAGAAAGGCTTCTTGCACAAGAATAATCATTTCACCACAGAGCTTTTTCCTCATCTCTGTTCCATGAAAGCACATTACAGAGATGATGCAAGTAAATATAACACAGTGAGTAATCAAATAACTTCCCAGATGTGGTGATGCCGAAGCAGGTTTTGTTGGTGTTTGATACGAATGAAAGTCTTTTAAGTGAAATTGCAAGAGACTGTGCTTGTAACGAAAATACTCAAATAGTATCTTTTCATTTCTCTGAGTTATTGAGTTGTAAAGTTCATTTTTTAAATTGCAGTTGCAGCGTGTTGAAATTATCCTTTGAAATATGAGTATTGGGGTGTTTTCCAAATGTGCTGCAAGTGCAGTTAAATTTTTTTTTACTTATCTCTTAAAAACCTGTTATGGCCACCATCAAATGCTTTTGCATTTCTCACTGGAACATAGTTATTAGATTTCTAAAATGCATTTAATGTTATTAGTTTAGTTGGGCATACGTGTCTCCAAAAGCAAAAATAACCCCTTCTTATAAGCCCTATAGAATAGAATTACTTTGGAAGAAATTTGATTTACTGCACCAATAAATCAAGTCTGTGCTCTCAGAAGTATGTTCTGGTTTTCCAGACCTAGATGAAGCTGCCAGTTTGCTGGAATTGCGTAGTAGTAAAATGTTTTGCCTTGCAAAATAGTATCAGGGCGACACTGAATTTATTCACAGACTGATTTCATTTCAATTAAGTGAATGTCTAAGAATACAGTCATCTTACATAATTCCTTTAAAGGATTTTTAAAAATCTGTCAAATACAATAATATTTTTTTAAAATAGCACTTGATTAAAGTTCCTGAAATATCTGGGTTTGTGAATTGTTTCTGTGAGTGTAGACAAGTATGGGATTTTGTGGGACTAGATTTTCCATTCAGTTGTTGTGTCCAATAGATCTGAGTAACTGATGGGCTGTGACAGCTTCTACCTCATTATCTGCCGTGTTCTGATTCTGGAGTGTCTCCTTCAAATGAGAGTCTTATCCACATTAAAACATTTTCACATTGTACTAGAACTCATAAATACTAGGTCCACAAATAATTTTTTAAATGATGTTGTGGAGGTTTGGTTCAACTTTATATAAACAAACAAAATAGGGGATCCAATCTCAATTTCTATATTTTTTCAGAGGTAGAGAGTTCATAGATGAGATCAGTTTTATTTTCTGGAGGCACTGGTGGAATACAAAATCTATGCCCCTTTTTATTTAATATGTTCTTTGAGTATTGGTTTTGGTGGTGGGAAGGAAAACTCAAAGACATCTTTTTCCTTGATCGATATTCTCCATTGTCAGTCATTTGAAATGTACACTGGCAAGTCATATATTAGTATTTTCCTGCCATATCATAGCTTTACTGAAAATTCTTTTAAAACCTGATGCTTGCCTGAGGGAAGTTCTCTTTCTGTCCTTTGAGAATCAGAGAACAGTGCTGAATGTGTAATTGGATCACTGATATGACAGCAAAAATCGACTTTGTTATTCAATTGATTCTGTACTTGTTCAGTCTTACTGCTTGCTATTCTAAATAGCTTTTTGTTTTCCTATTGCTTCTTTTAATCCTCCACCTCATTACCAGACTCCTTAAATTATTAAAGAGCAATCTGCTTAAATTGTTGTTTATAGCTCACTTTTGCACACTGGCTTGTTTTGCCCTTTGCCTTGTTTAGATTTTGACAAATTACCATTGCTGTTTCTACACTGTTGCTTTTGATAAGGGTTTTATCAGCCTTGCTTTCTTCTGTGAGAGTGCTGTCAAAATTGTGTGCTAATTCTACATGAAATTTCAATTTAATCCAGTTAATATCTGAATTCATAAAATATTTGTTAGACTGCATTTGGCTTTATAATGTCCTTTCCCTACCTGCATCTAAGCAGAACTTTCTCTACCTTTCACAAATTCTGTTGTTTTCCTAACTTACTATTGTCTCCCAAATAAATAACTGTAGTAATTGAAAGAACTTCATACCCTGTCTTAAAATAATTAATTAAAAAAATGCCACTCTTTCACTTTACCTCAAAACCAGAAAGAGAACAGCTTGGTTTAGAATTTCCCTGCCTTGCCTTTTTAGTTACTATCCAAAATCACCAGTGGAGATATTTGGCATTTGGTCTTGTCTTAGTTCCACAGTTCTGGAGAAGTTGTAGCACAAGCAAAAGATCTCATCAGTTTTCTATGGTTGGGCACAAATTCTTACCTTTCATTCTGGTTCTGGGAGAGTCAGTCGTGCCAACTGGGGCAAGGCTCAGACTGAACTGCTGGGCTTCCACACCTCAGCTCCCATCATAGTCCTTTCCTGCAATGATGGGAGGAATGTCAGGGGTTCTAATCTTAATTTGAATTCTAAGAATGAAGCAGTTAGGAGAGAGGAACTGCTTTGGCTTTCACAAACAGATAAAACATTGGAACACACTGATTTCTTGTAGTTTCAAATGCCTTGATTCTATGCTAGTTAGAAATAATATACTAACATTTGTTTTCTCACACTTCAGAGCATGCTCACACTTGCATTAGTTACCCAAATTATAATATAAAATGCCACCAAATACGTTGACCTTATAAAGAGATATTACCTTGCCATGCAAAGCTTTTTTAGATATATCCTTGCACCACAGGAGCTCCTGAAATGACAGAGAATTTGTGATTGGGAAAGATGAAATTTGAGAACTTTGTGTTATCACATAGTATTACCACACTCAATCCTTTCAAAAAGTTGGTGCTTAGTCTGGTGTTTGAAACTGCTTTTAGTTTTATTCTCCAACCTACTTCTTTTACTTAATTATGGTTTTTCTGTCTTTCAAACTGACATTTGGTTTTCCATAAAACCCTTTTGATTTCAGTAATTTGCTCCCAGATGAGAATGAGACATTCAAAAGTATGTGTTTGCAATTGATAAAAACATCATCTTCATTGCAGGTAGATGAAAGTGAACATGGAGAGAAGAAATTTCTGAAACAAAAACATTTAGTTTGAATGCAGGTGTTTGTCTTTCTTCCTCTAACACTTCTTGTAGGATAGAAAACGAAGGAGAAGTCTACTTCACTGAATTACCAAATGTATTAAACATGTGCTTGATTGCTCTTGCTTTGCAGAAAAACAGTCATAGTGGTTGGACCATTCTGTTGATAAATGTGTATAACATGGGATGAATAGAAATAGGTAACTGGATTGTGAACTGAATAAGCAGTGAATCAAACCAATTATGTGCCACTCAGTGTCAAAGAAAAGTGTGCAGCCTTTGGTTTTGAATCACAGCTTACATTTAAGCTTTTGATTTTATGGATTTTGTGTGCATATACTAACAGCAGTTCATTATGTATTGCCACTTAGCTATTTGCTAGCATTTTGGTTGGGAAAAGCTAATTTGAAGGAAGCTGCTGGGCTTGCCTAAGCAAAGACATTAGAATTCTTATGCTGCAACTGGTTTAATGAACTGTTTCTGTTTCTCTTGTCTGTTTTGCTGCAGAGCCCTTTAGTGCTTCTGTCTGGGTGATGATGTTTGTGATGCTTCTCATCGTGTCTGCCATGGCTGTCTTTATATTTGAGTACTTCAGTCCTGTAGGATATAACAGGAACTTAGCACAAGGGAGAGGTAAGATTTGCATTTTACACAACCCCTTGGCTATGAAAAATCGTGTATTTCCCATCCCTTGCCCTCCATCTTTTCAAATAAACATAACATAGGAATAAAACAGTGAAAGTATCTATGAAACCATGTATGTTCTTCATTTAAAGTGAACATATGCTCATGTTTGTATTCCAACTCATTAGAATAAAGACATATAGAAGGGTAAGTGATGTCAGAGTTGTATTCAGGCAGTGTTTGGTTAGTTCACTGTGTCTGCTGTAACGTGTCAGCTTAAAAAAAGGATTGGAACAGGTTCTAGTCCTGGCTACTATGAATTCATGGTCAGTTCAGAGAAATTTATCTAAACTTCTGTTTTCTAGTGGATAATTTGAAAAAATAGTGGTTCCCTTGCACACAGTTTTATATAGTTCCTATAAAAAGTCCGATGAGCTCAGCCTTGAAATGAGGCCAATGGCAGAAGAGCATCAGTCCTTTCAGTGTACCATCCATGGCTATAGAAACTTTATTTTCAAAACAGATTTAATACAGAGCTTGTCTTTCTTGGTGACAGCTGCAGCTGTATATTATTATATACAACTTTGACCCAAGAATGAGGATTCCATGTCTTGCAATGCCCTCATCCTCCCATTACTTAACTGACATTTGAGAGTGCAGCCTTTGTTTAATTTCTAAATTATTCTTACCTTGTTTTATAACAACAGATCTTCCAGCTTGGTGAACACAGTTCTGGGCACTATTAAAAGCTAATGGTTTCTTCTAGATCATGGCTGACTTGTTCCCTGAAAAAGGGGATTATTGCAATGTTCAGATGTTACCATTTTAATAAGATGGTAAATGTGTAACCTCTATCCAAAATAAACACTGCTAAAAAAGGGGAACTCAAAGGTGAATATAGACACTGAGTATCCAGGGGCTTGGCTATTCTTTTCTGTGCCACCTCATGTGCCAGAGCTGATTATTTAGTGTACTGACAGCTACAAGGTCATGTTATGGCACTAGACCATCCTAACTGAGCTCCAGATACTTGCCACTAATCCAGATGTCATTAATTTTAAACATGGGAAGCTTAAAATAAAGGGGAATCTTAATGTAGATGCCTCCTTTCCCTGGGCATTTTTGGCAGGATGGAGCTCAATGTTAATACAATCTCCAGTGGCATAAACAGAACTTTAGACTGCTTCTTTGGCATATACTTTCCCTAATGTTATTGCTCAGAAAAATACATGATGTCCTTGTATCTGTTCGGTCCTAAATGTGTCTGTAAGATGGTTTCATTAACCAAAAGTCAGCTCCATTGTGTTTATTTTACTGGACTCTATCTTCCTAGTGCTGCTGCAGAATAACAGGAGGATAATCAAAGATGTAGTGCTTGATTGCATAGTGAAATATTTGCACTGTCTAGAGAGCATTTCTACTGAAGTGAGAAAATACTGACTATACCCGCTTATGGTTTTATTATTTCAATAATAATTGAAGTATTATTAAAGTAAATTATAGTTAAACGAACAGCTAAATCTGAGTTTGTAATGTGCATCCCCTTGGATAAAGGGAGTGGGCAGGGAAGGAGGTAATGTTACAGGTGTCTGCATCAGACCTTATTGACTGAATTACCATTTAATTGAAAGGAGATAATTATAAATAGGTCAAATGAGTCATAGTCAGGGGAGGCCTGTTCCTCTCCATTGAGGGTAAAGGGAGTTTGGCTGATGAGCAATCTGTGATTACTGCACTGTGCTTACCTAGAGCTGAGTGAGAATAAAGTGCCCTTTATTCTCACAGGGCTCTACAAACCAGGCCTTTTGAGTGGATAATGGCACTGCTAATTCTAATTCTAATTGTTAATTCTGCCCCTATGTGAGAATGAGGGAGTGTGCTGACCACTTGCTTTGGGATGAATTAAAACATGACTGAAAGCAGGAATAGCAAAAAGTACAGAATGGATTAGCCAGGACAGGATTTTACCTGCAGTGCCAACACTTTTGGAGCCACAGAACATGAGAGACAGCCAGAGCCTGGTTTGCTCTGAGCTGCAGCATGAAACAGGTGCTCCTTTGTGCTGTCTTTCTGATTTATGCTCTGAGTACAAAGGTGCTTAAAAGTAGGTGACATATTCACACACTTTGATCTTAAATATGCTTACATAATGTTCAAAAAGCATAATGTTGGAAGACTGGAGATGATAAAAATAATTTGGATAAGAGAAGTACTAGAATTGAATCATTAAGACTTAAACCTCCAGTTTTCCATTTCTCTTGTCTGCTGGCACAGAAGACTGACAGGGCTGATACTGTGGCACACATCTTACTGCAAGAGATGTACACTAGTTTACTTCTCCTCCAAACCTTTGCTTTCCATTTTCTTTTTAAAACTTTTGAACCACATGCCACATAGAAAAATGTTGAATTATTTTTTAAAAATGGGGAAACTATTTTAATTACAATGAAGGGCATCTATGGTGAGTCCTGTGATTCCACTGGGAGTACAGTGAATACGGAGTGAAATATTTTTTAACCCAGTCTCTGAGTAATGCTGATGTTTATGTAGGGGATAGTGCCAAGGTTTATTTTAACTGCTTTTTTTGCAATTACAGATCCCCATGGCCCATCCTTTACCATTGGAAAGGCGGTGTGGTTGCTCTGGGGTTTGGTCTTCAACAACTCTGTGCCTGTGCAAAACCCCAAAGGGACAACCAGTAAAATCATGGTGTCAGTTTGGGCTTTCTTTGCTGTCATTTTCCTGGCCAGTTATACTGCCAACTTAGCTGCCTTTATGATTCAAGAGGAATTTGTTGACCAAGTGACTGGACTGAGTGATAAAAAGGTAGGTCTTAAGCTCAAAGGAGATCAGTGTCCATTCCTCACAATCCTTTGTGCTTTGTGATAAAAAACTCTGAGCGAGATAAACTAAATTTGGGTGATTTCATTCTGAGTGCAACCTTTTATTAACAAACTGTGACCCAAAGCATGAAAATACCAGACTGTTTTCAAGTCTTTTAGTTGCCTACTCAGAAGTAACCGCACTAATTGAAAAGTACCTTTATTTTGTGATGGAAATCAATTACTCTCTGATTAAAAGAAATGTATCATCAATATAAAAAAGCTGGGAAAATTGTGTGAAATATTAGTAATATATTAATAGACAAAATAGTAATAAATCCAGAAACTGTCTAGTAATTCTCAGAAGCAGTTACTACTCCTGAAAATATGGCTTTTTCCTTCCTATGTAGTGTGCAAGGAAGTGATAGAAATAGTTCAGATTTAAAGTGGCACCAGCATAAATAAATAAAGAGGAATGATAAAAATGATACACATTGTCTGTGGATGTTTGAATGTTTTTCTTGTATAAAATGCAAGAATAAATAGGAAAAATAGATAAGAAAATTTGGCAGTTTGTGTTATCACATTAAAGAGAGAGGTACCTTGCATATGATAAGGCATAGAATTTTGATGTGTTTGTGGAAGACATTTTTCTAATTCAAGAACTTCTATGAGAACTTCATTTGAAGCAGCAAGTTGACTTAAACTCGAGTTTCACACAGACTATTAAATAATAAATATTCTTATTTTTTATATTGTTTTAGCTAGGCTGAACCTTTTTCTAATGAAAGAATCCTTCCCAGATCTTTGTACTTGGGAATTTAATCAATAGTCTTATAAATCAGCAACCTAGCAATTACTTCTTTTTTTTTAATTTCATTTCTGTGACTGTTCTGTAATAGTGATATTGCACAGAGGGACTGAAGTCTATTTGCAAAATTATTGTTGTGATGGATATACACAAGATACATGAAGGGTGTGCTTTTGTCAAGTCTGTGCCCAGTTGTTTTAAAATGAATCTAAATATTGACATTAGGAAGGAATATTTAAATACAGTGTAGCCCAGGGGATGACTTCACAAGGGATTTTTCTCAGAGAAAAGAAAATGAAAGAAATTGTTCTTCAAAAAAGGCAATGGCTCCATAGCCTTGTGTCTACTTGCTTTTTTTTTGTTGTTGTTTTAACTGCTTTTTATGACCAGCCTTTGACTGATTGCCTGGAATATCAAAGCATGAATGGCAAGCATGGGTAGAGGAAAGACAGATGAAAAGAAACAAAAAATTATAATAGTTTTGTTTTCATTAAGTTGCGTTGTGATGAAACATTTGATAGAGCACGAAGGTGGTAAAATATACCTCTATTTTAAGAAAACACTCTTAGAAGAGACAAATAAAAGGTATTGTCTCTTGAGGATTAAAAAAATGGATTTGAGAAACACGTTTCTCCTGTTTGTGAGAAAGTGCAGAGCGTTTTCCTGGGCAGTCTGGGTTTTGGCAGGATTTGGCCTGCACCTGGCACAGCAGTGGGATTCGGGTCTGACAGTGCACCCTCACCTCCCCCTCTCTGGCTCTCTGCCACTCCCCCATGGGCTGGGAAAGGTCAGGATTTGTGCTGTAGCTTTTGCCTAATAACTTCCTGAGTTCTGTCATCTTTCTGCTCTGTCTTCTGAGGAGGATTTTATTTCAGCAAAAAGCAGAATAAAAACAGAAAAATACTTGAATCAGAAAAAGACCATCTGGTTTTGTGTGGTCTGCTGATCATTTATTTGATCTGCCTCCTTTGTTTTTATTTTTCAGCTCTTCAAACTTTGCCTGAAGCCCATAGAGATAAGTCAGGGGAGCCATGCCTTTTCTGATTAAATTAAACAAGTCAGAAGTCCAGAAAACCAATGACCTATATCTGAACATTCTTCTTGTCATACACAGGTTTTGCCTCCTCCACAGTCCTGAGGTTTCTCAGATTTTAAAAATTCAAATAACTAAGGATAAATTATGGGAATATAATCTGACTGATATTAAATTATATTTCTCCCCTCCTTGCCTTGTTGCTGCAATGCTGTTAGTAGGAGAAGAATTCAGGAATTTAGGATTTTGCTGGTGTTCAGTAGGAAACTCTGCCCCTTGCAGCAAGCAAAGCAGTCAGATGCAAAGGCCAGTGAGAAGGGCCAGAAGTATGGAGGTAATCAATTTGGAATAAGTAATATCTAAAAGTTTGCTCAATTAAATAGAAATAAAAATTACTCTTTTGGGCTGGTAAATCAGTTTGCTATTCGTTATTCTTCCTCTCTACTGTTTTTCCCACTGACACACCCGAAGAGTCAAACTTCTCCCGTCAATACAGTGAAGTATTCCCAGTTAGAGATACTGGGGTTTCTCAATATCTCAGTATTTTTTTTCCAGCTCCCCATGGGATAGACTGTAGAGAAAAATCAGGGAAAAAATCCTTCACTCTGAGCAGTCATTCCTGACCCTCAGCATTTGATATCCTCCCATTCAGGAAATGTGTTACACTCTGGACACCTGATAATGTGCTATTTACCCTCGGTGCTTTAAGACCTCTTCATAGATTCCCTCAACCTTTGGAATGTTGCTAATGAATTCCTGAATGCCATGTCATCCAAGTGTCACCCAGAAATACGTGGCACAGCATGTACTGGAGTTACTAGGGGTGGGTGTTCATAAACTCAAATGATTCACAAAATGAAGGAGAAAATTATGTTTTGACATTCCTCTTGTGTATGCAAAAGATTTTTAAAAGCTTTGTCTTCATAAAAAGGTACAGAAAATGAGTCCAAAGTATCCAGCAAAGCTGACATTTCTTACTTTTGAGACCATTTATGCCTGTTGCATGTCATGAAAGAGACATTACTAAAGGAGAGTAGGTAGCAGTGGATGGACTTGTCTTGCCAAGCGTTTGTTCGATGGGATTCCTCCACACTTTATTGCCTCACTTACATGTGGTCCAGGAGGTGCTCACCAACCTTAATAGGAAGCCATTTACAGGTTCTTTATTTTTGCAAGATTCAGGGTATTCTTGTAACCTTGGCCTTACATTTTTGTGCACCAAGTTGGCCCAAGTTCTGCAGTTACCAGGGGTATGTCTGAAAACAGAACAGGCTGAGATCAAAAGACACAATGAATGATGGGTGGTTGGTCTTACCCCAACCCTTCTCACCACTAGCCAATATCAGACCTTTACAGTGCTTTTGAGGGTGGTCAGACATAGATATTGCCCGCATTTCAGTAACCAGTGATTATAATAACAGTCTTGGAATGAAGAATGGCTTTATTTTTCTAAGATAGAAATCAGAATGTCAGTTTTCCATCTGGCAAAAAAAAAGGACAGGGTTCAAATATGGGTGTTCTTCTGCCACTCCAAATGAGTTCCTGCTAGCAGAGAGAGGTTATTTTCTATTTTCTGCTATTTTAGTAATGCTTTCCACAGTTCCTTAAAAAAATCCAGAACCGTAACAAACGACTGCTCTGAACAGCAGCCTTTTCAGGCAAGGAAGTAAATCTCCAGATTAAGTCAGTATTTAATGTTTGTGAAAGATCACTTTGCTGGCTTAATGAAATTGTCAGTTTTATTAAGGCATCTAAATAAAATGAAAGCAAAGGGTTGGAGTTCTGTTGCCACGTGCAATAGTTCTGTTGGGTGGCAGAGCATGGGGAGACAAGGATGGATTGGTTAGTCTTCAGAATAGCAGTAGATTTCTCCACAACTGTGATTCAAGGAGGGGGCTTGTGCATTCAATTTAAGAATTTTGTTCATGATTTAAAAAACTACCATTCCATAAAACGTCTAGGAAGAAAATTACTTCCTAGCAAACTTGATATATTTTGTTTCCCATCGTGGGGCTTCAGGGAAAACGAATGCATGTAGGGCCTTGATCCTTTTTCCCTTTTTGCCTCATGCCTGCCCCGTAGATCTTTCCTGCAGTCACAGAGCCCGTGAGCTTCTCCAGGACATGTTGGTTCACAGAATATAAGTTTAATGTTATTGATGAGAACTTTATGCACTTTAGATACGAGTGCAGTGGTAGTAAAAAGATTTAAATCCTCTTCTTTCTGTACAAGTAGTCTGAGAGCAGGCAGTAGTAGCAGACAATGGTTTCAAAAAAATTATCTCCTTGTGACTGTTAAAGTTTGTTGGTTGGTGCCAAGAAATTCCAGTCTGTAGATGGTGTTTGGAACTATTCATCTGCTTTTTATCTCTGTGATTTTTGAATGAAGTAGGGCTTTTTATTCCTCTCTGCATTCCTGCAGAAATATTTGTGTTCCTTAAATGTTCAATTTGGACAGATGCCTTAATTCTTTCAACTATTCCATGAGAGGAAGTGCCTTCCAACATTTTAGATTCATATGAATGTTCTTGAAAAGTGAGAATATTCAGAAGCAAACTCCATTTCTAAATTACCAGACTACTCCACCATCACCTCCCTGTTCCCCCAGTTCCCCTGCCATACCTCAGGACTGGAAACTGAGCTTGCAGTTCCACAGCTGTGATGAGCTTACACACCACAGGTGAATTTCCAAAAACATATCAGGGATATGAGCAGCAACAATTTTTACAGGTCCTGAAATCAACAATGTTTATTTAATTATTTTTTCCATTTCTGTTGACTGGGAAATTTGATACATATATTAGGAGATATTGGAAGTCATCTCAATACTTCAGAGATACGTTATCTGTAGCTTTAAATGAAGTTGATAGCAAGCTACGTTTATATCAGTAGAATCTCTGGACATACATTTAAAAGCAGGTTTTGTTTCAGTGCTGCATAATAAACTCAAAATAGGAGATAGCAAATATAGACTAAGAACCATGACTAGTGTACAGTGTAATTTTAGTGCATAGGTCAATTACTATGTGTAAAAGTAGTAGCAAAGTAATAATTTAAACAGTAAAGCTGTGAAAAGGGAAAATGAGAAAAGTAAGACATCTGCTAGCTAAACAAATAGAGAAAAATAGAGTTCATTCCTTTATGCTTTGTCAAAATATGCTTAATTAAAATGAAGCATTTAATTGTAGTTCTGTAATAAGAAAATAGTGTTGCAGCAATAATTTCACAGTCAAGGTTTGATGGAATTGAAAATAGTCCCAGGTTTTTTGTAAGCCTATTTGTATTCTCTTTGCAAATTGGTACTGTATCTTGGGAATTTTTGATGCCCTGAGACCAAATGTTAAAAAGAGAAATATTTCATATGCAGCCCCAAAGGAATCAGCAACTGTATAAATATTATCTGTCTCTTGCAGCACAGGATATATAGATTGCTCTTCTAACTTCAACACTAAAACCAGAGTGCATTTTACTGTGGAATTTATGGGTGGCTGCTTTTATCAATTGCTCAATTCAATTTCCTCATTAGCCAGTAGTTCCTCTAATTTGAGTGACCTTTTTCATTTGTTTCTTAAAGAGACATTTTAATCTAGTCCTCAGGTGTCATTTCATTTTCAAAGATAATACAAAGGCTCATATAAAATGTTCAGATCTGAGAGTAAGAATTTTTGTGAGATTATGGGAATGATTGCCAGGTCTGAACCCTGACTGTGCCCTGGGCTATTGCCATCCCCTTGCACATATCCCCTGGCTTGTTTGCCTGTGCTGATGCAATAATGATATGGAATTGTAGGATAAATCTATGTGCCCTCAAGCAAATGATTTGTAGTTTGAAATGGTAGGAATGAATAGGGACTAGGAATATAGGTGTGAGAGCTCCAGAAGCCCTTTTCATGTCAGGTTATGTAGTTGCTGAGCCCCTGGGGAAGCTGCAAGAACTTTTATTCCTTTGGATCGTGGTGGTGGAGGGAAAGCCAGTCCTCCCCCTGTCCCTCCCTGGCAGAGCTTCCTGTGATCCCCAGCACTCCTCAGGGACCAGTGTGTTGAGCTCCCAGCTCCTTGGATGCTGAGAATGATCCTTTTTCCCTTCCTTCCTGTGGGGACCCACAGTGTCCCAGCTGAGATGGAAGTGTGAAATGACTACCAACAAAGCACTGTTTTCTTTTCATTGCTGTTTCCCAGTGTGTCTGCTGGCACTTTGGGTTCTCTAGGGAGAATGCTGGCAGGTGAGGATCTTCCAGCATCTCTCTGCTCCAGTTTCTGCTGTCCTGCCATATTACAGTGCTTGGGAGAAAGTCACATTTGAGTGGCAAAATTGAGCTGGTTTTAATTTGGATGTAGATGCTTCTGTAAGTTCAGTCAGCGTGAAGACAGTTTCTGGTATAATAGACCTGAGTTAACCCACAGCATTTGCCTAGAAGAAATGTGAGGCAGATTATACAACTTCTGTGTTTTTCAGCTTGAAACTGCCCTTCTTTACATTTTGAATGCCTGAAACACTTTGCTTTCCCCCTTTCTTTCTAGTTTCAAAGGCCACATGATTACTCACCTCCTTTTCGATTTGGAACAGTCCCAAATGGAAGCACTGAGAGGAACATCAGAAACAACTACCCTGATATGCACCTTTACATGACGAAGTTTAATCAGAAAGGAGTTGAAGATGCCTTGGTCAGCTTGAAAACTGGGTGAGTTTTTCCCATGAATTTTAAAGAATACTGTAGACTTTCCAGAAGCTGAGAAATATTGATCTGTGCTTTGATACTGAGCAAACTGATATCAGGCTGCTGTGCAGTAATGGCTCTTTTTTTTTTTTTCTTTTAATTCAACTACACTGTATAGATATCAGAAAGGAAAACGATTGCCTGTGATTTGTATGGCTGTTTTAAAATTACATGGAAGCTTCAATGTCCTATGTAAAATAGTTTCAAAGAGCAGAATTAGTGTTTGCCAAATTTGAAAACAGATTATACAGATGAACCTGGATTTGGCTGGAGGTTCACAGAACATGTTTTGTAAGTTCCTTGTTATCTTTGCAGCACTGACTAATTATGCTTCTGACAAGCTTAGTAAATATTCTGGCAAATATTATTGTCCTTCTTTCTCAAGATCTGAGATTTAGACTTGGGTGCCATCCATCCTTTTTTCTCTCTGAAGTAGCCCATTCTACCTGGTTGGACAAAGAGACTGAATTTTCATTCTTAATCCTCCAAAGGTATGAGAGTGACTCACTACTCATATCAGTATTCATCTGGGTGACAGGAATGTGTTAGCTCTAGTAATTTTTTTCTAAATATTTAGGCTTGATAGTAAGATGTGCATTTTTGTTAATAACACCATAATCATAATCTCTCAATATAATTTATCTAGGTTTTGTTTTGAAGTGAGAAGACTAAGTTATCATGGTGGGTTTAAGCATCTCTCCTGCTATTGTTTATGGTGAACACAGGACACATTTCTTCCTATGCTCAAATAACCTGTTACTTTTGGTCCTTTTTGGGGAACTGCCTGTCCTTTTAATTTTACTTTCATTCTCCCAAACCTGTAACGGATTGTAACATAGTTCTTATGCAAAACACCTTGAAATACCCACATCTTTTGTAAGAGTGAAGATTCCCTTCTTTAAAGAGTTATCCTTCCAGCTCTTTCCTTCACTACTGTCTCCATGCTGCTGCCTGGACTCTCTCTGTCCTCAATTCTCAGGGCATTCTCAACTGGCACTTCCCAGGGGTGGTTTGTCCCATCCTAGGACAGGCGCGTAACACAGCGTGAGATCAGCCTTGCCCAGCATCTTCCACACTGGAGCTCCTGCTCTGGCTGAGCCCATGCAGGTTGTATTTCCTGGGTGACAACTAAATTATGCATTATGGGTAGTCAGCTGAATGCTGCCTTTCCTGCTGTGAATTTTTGAAGAAGGAGCTGTCCTTGATTTCAGCCATTGCCAGGGCTGGTTCCGTTGGGTGGATAGTTTATCTGGGGGATGTGTGCTCCTTGTACTTTTCAGCCAATATTTGTGCTACTGAAAGCCCTGAGAAACTGCTGTTAGCTTTAAAATCAGGCCACCTATCAGACACTTTAGCATGAAAATGGGGGAGGGGGGATACCTGACTGCAGGGTTGTTCAGGACATCCACTAAAACTCAGCTGCTCCTGTGCCAGCTGCTGCTCTCCCTCAAAAGCTTTGCTCATTTTGACAGCATAAACTATTCATTTTTTATAGATTTCTTTTTCCCTGCTGAAGTTTCTTTTTCTAAGTGGTTGCTCAGTGTGGACACCCCCAGGTGTGTACCTTGCTCCCCTTGACTGATATTCCTGCAGCAGATGGTACAAATCAGCTGCCACAGGAGTGTTTTCTGGATCAATATAAGTAACTGCCACACACAGCTGTGCTCCTTAGGATTGTGTCTGGTGGCACCTACAGAAGGATTGAACAGTATGGCATCAGCTGCTTTCAGACTTGTATTCTTTAAAACCGTAATTTTTCACTTTTAATGCCAATTTTTCTGTTCTGTTCCTCAGTATACATTGCTGTGGCTTCTTCCTTTCCCCCTGATGAATTATTTGACCAGATTATTTCTCTCTTCTGTGTGAAGTTTGCCCTTTCATCTTTAACTAGACCTGACTGAGCTTCCCCCCTCCCTGATTTACTCCATCCCATGATTTCTAGTACATCTTGTCCAATGGAGTCTGTGTTGCTGTGGCTTTTTTGAGGATGACCTCTCTCTTCTTCCTCAAACTGCTTCTGCTTCCAAGCAAATGTATAATTTCTGTTTTCCTCTTCACTATGTGTGTTCTGCTCACCTTATTACAGCTATTTTGTGTCTTTTTTCATCTTTATCTCTTTCCAAATCTATTCCTATACCTTTATCATTTTACTTTTTTTTATTTTTTCATTCTCATAATTGGGGATAGAACAAGTGACTTTTCCTGTGTGTGGTAAAGCTTGCTGCTTCTGCACAGCTTTTTGAAGATGAACTACCTGATAATTATTCTGTATAGACCAGAGAAGGATTTGCAGAGATTGTCTGGTTGATAAATGCTGCTGTGAGGTAAAATAAATTGTACCTGTGTTATTCCTGAAAAGTGTTTGTATAACTTGTATATATTTCCAATTTCAATTTTTCCAATCTCAACCAAGCCTTTTAAAAGGAAAGATCTTGTTATTGAAGTACTACTTAATAGTTTTCAAAATGGCAAAATATTGTCCCTCCTTCAATGCAATGTAGTACTGAAGGCAATCACGATCTTACAAGCTTGTCAAAAAACGCACTTGTGTTTTTCACTGAATTTCATGCATTTAAGGGATCAGGTGGCCCACATGTGCTGTGCTACGTGCAGAGCTTGGCATTGCTCCTTAGGCAGGACCGAGCAGCTCAGGAATTCGCTAGGTTTTTGTTCCTTAATGAGAGCAGAAATGGCAGTTATTGCCCTGAGCATTATTCAGAAGAGTAAAGCCTGTGAGACATTAGCTAATGTATTCTTGGTGGGTGATGTCCAGCCCTGTTAGAGCCACAGCGGCTCCTCTGAGTTCTTTAGAACTGTATTGATCAAACACAGTTTTAAAAATGCATGGCAAGCATTTCTGTCTATGCTCCATTTAATTCATCTACATTTTGATATCCCTCTGTCCCAGAAAGGCAGATCCTATTGATTTTGCTTCTTGAAGAGAGAATAAGTCCCCAAATAGGAAGTTGCTGATTATTGTGTTATGTTTACGGTGGCTCTTCGGGTTTGTTTGTTTGTTTGCCTGGCTATATTTTTCCTGAAGGGATTATAATAAAAGAGTACTATCTTTTTGCAGGCAAAACCGCCTGTCCCACTGCAATTCTTTGGTGTGGGTTGTATGAACTCATAGTTGTTGAGTTTGCATGCAGTGTTTCTCTGTGTATGAGGGATTTGCTGCTGTAAAACTGTCAAGAGGAGAAATTGCAACGGCAGTAAACTAGAAATGCATTTCATGTTCTCACCTTTGGCCCAGCACATCTACAGTGGCAAATAGTCTGGGATTTAACTGCTAATGGCTGAAAGGAGAAAATTTAATTGGGAGAGGTTTTTTTTAGTCTAGGGATAAAATGGGAAATGTTCACTTGCCTGCTGCCCATCCCTTCATTTCAAGGAATCTGCAGCAAGGAATCCCTGGTGTTCTATGGGGAAGCAGACCCTTGTACAGCTGCAGACCCCCTCGCTGTCATGAGTGGTTTATAAGTCTTATTGTAAGCCACAGCTGTGGCTGTATGTTCAGGGATTTGATACTAAAATTTACTTGGGACTTCATCTGCCTTCCTGTTAAATGTTGGGACTTCATACACGCATAGAATTTAATTCCTGATTCCTCGTTGTCCCTGACATGCTGGTGGAATTATGAAGCTTCCTGGAAAGGGTGGTGCCGTGGTGTCAGCACGTCTGCACTGCCAGAGCCACGGCAGACACAGCCTTGCACATGGGGGGTCATCAAATGTGTGATTTTATATCCACACAGTTAATGAGCTGTGCCCTGAGGGGCTGCTCTGGGCCTGCAGGGTGTCCTGAGCTGTCACCGCTCTGAGAGGTGATGATTCCATTCCTCAGCATCCTTTGCTGGCAAATGCCAGCAGAAACACCTGGAAGCACCTGAGCAGTGCAAATGGCAAGAGGATTTATTTCCTCCCTGCAAACCCTCTCTCCTGTGTGAAAACAATATGATTATTAATATGTTTTATAGTATCCTGTGGCATTAAGCAGAGGAAGCGCAAGAGAAGACCCCAGAAGGCCCCAATGGCCTTTTAACCCTCCATCTCTGAGTTTATTGGCCTGAATTGGATTTTTGTTGTGCTCACAGTGATTATAAATTGTATCCAATTCACAGCTTCACACACTCTGTTATTTGCTGAACAAATACAACCAGGTCAGAGGCTGCCCTGGCAGCTTGTGCTGTGTGACACAGGCATAACCAGGAGGCAAAAATCCCTATTTCTGTCAGCTGGAACATGGTTCGGATTGTGCCCAGCAGGTCCTTCTGTTAATTAGGTCTGCCAATTAAAGTGGTGATGTGCCTAAAGTTAAAAACAACCCCAACTTGTCTTTTAGGCAGCCAGCTGACATCTCCACTTTGATGCAAAACCTATTTCAAAATTTTCAATTTATTTTTCCAGGAAAATTACCATCAAAATTTTCACCAAAGGAAAACCTTCCCAGATTTTGTTCTTTCTGTGGTTCATATCTTTTCACCTCAAATGAGGAGGGAAAGCTGTGAGAGAAGTTATCTGAAATAAAAATTACAGGGTTGGTTTTTGTGTTGTTGTTTTTTGTTTTTTTTTTTTTCATTAAAAGCACAAGTTGTTCTTATGGGCAGATAGCTTAAAAACAGAACTCACAGAAATGTTAAGCACACATAAAATGTCAAACTTTTAAACTAGTGGCTCAGTATTTTTTGACTGTTTCTGATTGACAACACCTTGCAGTATTTGTAATTGAGAATTTTCACACTTAGACTTTTGATGTTACACTACACAGAGCAATTCTTTTACCAATTTTTAAGAATTTGCCAGAGGTGGTTGACTCTGAAGAGCATTTGAGGGAGGAAGTAAAAGGTCAGTGGGCAGCATGAGATGTCTGTAGTCATAATAATTTATTGCTTGCAACCCTCCTGGATACCTGTTATGGTACAAGAAGAGAGAAACTGTGCTGGAGACATCTTTAGCCCAAGCACA